AAACCTAAAAAACCAAATGATAATCTAGAACCAAAAATTGAAAAGTTTCACTGATAAATTTTTGGTTTTACACAATTCCTGGAAGGATGTCTTTGATTAAACATCTTTGAAAGTTCCATACAGGGAACTAAATTTATAATTTTATTTACATTCAATGCTATTCATGCTAACTATATTTTCAGACAACCTAAAATTTTGAAAATGATTAAAAATAAGATATTGGAAATATCTTATTTAAGAATAACTTTTGTAAATTAAGTAATTTCTCAAATTTTTCTTGAAAATCCAACATTTAATGAAGGAATTTAAATTATCTAACTCCGTTCCATATGACTTCAATGTTTTTATTGAAGATCCCATTATATTTATGAGACTTCAAAAGGATAATAATCTCCAATTTCTTGTTGGGCAGAAATTGAGAGAATAATTTTGTCATCTTTTGATAATGTCAACATCTCAGTTGCTATACTCACAACTTTTCAGCTAGTGTATCTTCAAGTCTTCTTTGGGTATCTTTCTTTTGGTAAATTTCTGGAAATTTTGCAGCAAAACTGTATAGTTAATCCCAGAAGGTTGGGAGCTGAGCATCTTTTTTTTTTTCTAATTCTGCCATCCATTTTTTATAAAGCTACTTTTGTTGTTTTTTTTTTGTTTTTTTTTAACTCTGAAAAAGAGTATGAAAGTCATTGTTTGACTTGGGAATTTTATCTAGTTATCTTGTGGTCAGGAGTTCAATCTCTAAGTCAGGCAGTGAAAGTCAAAGCTTCAGGTTGAGTAGAAAAAGAAAAAGTGGGAAGAATTTATAGGTTTATTTACTGGAGAGATGACAGAACAACCTATCATAGATTGAATGGTCCCATTTGAAATTTCAAAATGGTTATCAATTACAACAGCCACCTGAAGAAGACTGAGATGTACAACAAATAGTGTGACTATAAACAAACAAGATAAGGATAGTAGTACAAATAAATTAATGTACAATAGAGAGAATCTTGTATAGACAGCAGAATGAGAATGATTTTCTGTGGATTGAATAAAAGGTATAGTCTGAAATACCAAAAGACTTACTAAATACAAAAGACAAGAAAGAAGAAATGAATGGTACAATAACTGAAGGAGTGTAAATATATTGACCAAGATGGGGATATTAGTCTGAATAGGTCAATGTATGATAATCTTTGTCTTAAACTCCAGAGATTTTAATACTTTTTCTCTGTAACTTATAGATTTTATTTGTTTGTACTTCAGAGTAATTCAAAGCTACATTAGCATCTTCTTTCAGAAGACATTGGCATTCACAGAATTGAATGTCTTCAAAACAAATGAGAGAAAATATAGTTCTTAGCAAAAGGCCCCAAAAATAGTTTTGTGCACAAAAAGGCATTGGTCAACAAATGCTTGTACCTGTCAGTTTCAATGAGATCAGTTTGAGAAATTTCACATACAAATATCCCAAACTTTTATGGTGTACTGTTTGGAAAAGAAAAAGGTTTTAAAAAGTTGTTCTTTATTTTATTGCATGTGTGTGTGTGTGTGTGTGTGTATGTATGTATCCAAAGTTGTAAGAGTTCTGCTGTTTGATTAAAAAGTATTAAAAAAATTTGACATGCTGTTTATTAAATGTGGGTTCAAGAATAAATTTATACCACCCCAGGTAAATACAAATAGGTTATAGGCACTGACTTGACACCACCTGAGTAAATAAACAAAGCTATGGTACCCAGTTTCAAATCAGGATGGAAACAGCATTTTATTTTTTTTCTTTTGACAAACTGTCATAAAAATGTAGAAATAAGAAAATGTGTAGGATTTATAAATCTATTTAAACAAAATAAGGGCTTGATAATAACTCATTTAATAACAACTTCTAGTACATCATTAATTAATGCTTCAAGTTTCCCAATAAATTTTATTTAACCTGATGCTAATTTATGCAAAAGTTTAAATTATTTTATATACAGATTGTATTAAATTGAATTTTTTAAAATTATTATCAATGTCAGATTCTGATTGCGTTGATGAGATAAATTGAGTCACCCCCACACCCACTACCTCAGTTAAATGTTTCTAAAATAAACACTGAAACATGTTAATTATTCTACACAAACATGTTGCAAAAGACAAAAGTAGACAATTTTTAAAATAATGAAAATTGTTTTTGTTCATGTTTTAAATAACTAAACAAATCTAGTTAAAAATAGTATACCAAGTCTGGCACTAGACTAACAAATGTCAAAAGCCCATTATTATTATTATTATTATTATTATCTAAAGACAGAATCTGACAAATTAGCAGAATAAAAGCATTTGTTCTTAAAGTAAATGATTTTAATGAGAGCATATCTCATGATTCCAATATTTCAAAATCCACCATATTTTCAGATTTTTTTTTCTTGTTGGTAAATTATTTTTAGGGGATGGTAAATTATTTTTCCAGAACAATAAATCAGGCAAATCTTTAAATTAGGCTAATCCCAATAATGAAATAGCACACTACTGTTTAGTTGTTAAACAAACATACTAACCACTGGTTATCATTTAACAAGAATAAAAATTGTTTACATAATGAATATTGGACAATATCTCCAGAGGGATAATGTTATTAACATGATTAACTCTCATTAAGTAATTATTAGTAAATAAATTACTCCACCATAAAATATTAAATTTAATTATTTTAATGTTTCCAAGAATCCTTTGCTCAAAAAAAAAAAAAAAAAAAAAAAAAAAAATCCTTGGCAGGTGGCAAAAGTTTGGATTTTACAAAAGCAAAATAAAATAATGAAACATTGGCTGTCATCAAATTTTGTTTTGGACATGAAATAATTGTTATCCGTTTTTGCACACTATTCATAAAATGTTTAAGGTTTTTTTTCATATTTCATTTTTTTTAAAACTACCTCAAAAACATTAATATCATTAAGCAAAAAAAAAAAATTAAAAAAAAATATGAGGCAAAGTGAAAAAAAAAAAAAGAAGATCTATTTGAAAATTCAGAATGAATAGAGGCACATTGTTTGAGACTTTTTTTTTTTTTTTACTAATTATAAGAAATTTGATAAAAAAAAATGAAGATGAAGGCTTGGGGGGTGAAGAGTCAACTAATATAATATTATGACCCGTTTGATTTGCTTAATTTAAAGTAAAATAAAATAATTTAAAAAAATTGACAAGATTAAAAGCAAGTGAGGGGCACTGTTTAATTTTTGGCTTTGCTTTTAAATGTATATCTGTTAATTAAATGCAAACAGCATCATGGATCATGTTAGGCATGAGAGAATGGTCAAGCTACCAAGCACAAGAGGAGGAACAAAAATTAAAATAATATCAGTCCTCGTCCCCTCCCACAAACATTTATATACAACATTTTTTTTAAGTTTCTATCTAAAAATTAAACAATGTAAATTTATCTACTTTTTTTTTTTTTTTTTATTTCATTTTAAAATTAATTTGTCCATATCATCATTGAAATATTGATTAATTTTAAATCCACATGCATTCGTCTTTTACACATTTATTGTAATGAGTACACATGGACTGCTCTCTGATTAATTATGGCTGAGTGGAGCCAGATTTTACAACCATAGCAGAGTTGGGATTCTTTAAAAAAAAAAAAAAAAAAAAAAAAAAAAAAAAAAAAAAAAAAAAAAGAAAAAAAAAAAAAAAAAAAAAGAAAAAAAAAAAAAAAAAAAAAAAAAAAAAAAAAAAAAAAAAAAAAAAAAAAAAAAAAAAAAGAAAAAGAAAAAAAAAAGAAAAAGAAAAAAAGAAGGCAAACTTATTAGAAAAACACAAGTATTTTTGTGCAATGTTCACAAAAGCAGGTGCAAAAAAGAATTAATCAGAACCAGTTGAGTGGGACTGGACAAAGCTACTGAAAAGGCAAGGCATAGAGGGAGCAGAAGAAAAGCCCTACACAATTGTGATATTTTTTGTGACCCTTGAAGAATAGGAGTTTTGTAGGAACCAGTTGATATATAGTTGAGTCAAGCATCTGGAAAGTTGGGTTATCAAGGTGAAACCCAAAAATGTAAGACATGAGATGTATAACTACACTAGTGAATCATAATTATTTCCCTCCCCACCATTTTTTTTTTGAACCATATGATAAGAGCAGCAGTTGAACTTTGTGGGATTTACATCTATCAACAGAGTTCAGTCCCATTGACAATAGAAGATGGAGCTGACATGCTATGGTTGTCAGGCTGAACTAGTCTTCTTTCTCAGTTAATAAAATGTCTTACATGGTACAAGCAAGAAAATGGAAAGACTGCAGTTAATTTGTGTTGTCTATCACTAACAAAAACAATAAGATCTTCAACAAAGATACCAGCAAAGGTAACAATATTTTGCCATCCAAGGAAGATGCTGGCCTTGAAGAAATCCAACAAATTCTGTGATGCAAAAATCTTCCTGGGATGGGGGGGGGTCTTCTGCGCAAAAATTGCCAATCATTTCCTCCTATTTTAGTTTTAGTGCACACATGCACAGACAGACAGACACACAAATTTGTTATTTTAGCAACCCTTTCATTTAGGAGATCTCCCCATCTGCATCTCTCAGATTATCTATTGCCCTTGTCTTTCTTACTTTTATTTGCCAATTCTAATCATGATATAGCTTTTGCTATCATCATTGTGCTAAGAAATAGATTCTGTATAAGATTTAATCTTACATAGATAATATGATAGTGAGAAAACAATCACTTTTCTCAATAGAGTTTGACAGCCTTGAAAACTGAGCAATATGTTCTGATAGAAAAAAAAAAGAGTGAGGATTTTGACATTCAGGGTGAGAGGTTGCCAAAAATAGGTTACTCTGTTGCCAGATAATTAAGGATGTCAAAACAACACTAAGAAAAATATAAAAAGAAAAACTTGTATATAGATAATATAATATAAAACTTACAGCTGATAAACTTATAAAAATTGGAAGATTAAAAAAAAAAAAAAAAAGAAAAAGAAAGAAAGCCTTCAGACAATTTTTTTTTTCTTTTTGTTTTTTTAGGGAGAGAGAAAAAAAGAGAGAGGGGGAGAGAGGGAGAGAGGGGGGAGAGAGAGAGAGAGAGATAGGAGAGAGAGAGGGAGAGAGAGGGAGAGAGAGGGAGAGAGAGGGAGAGAGGGGAGAGAGAGAGAGAGAGAGGGGAGAGAGAAAATGAGAGAGAGGGGGAGAGAAAAACGAGAGAGAGAGGGAGGAGAGAAAAAACGAGAGAGAGAGGGAGGAGAGAAAAAAGAGAGAGAGGAGGAGAGAGAGAAAAGAGAGAAAGAGGAGAGAGAGAGAAAAAGAGAGAGAGGAAGAGAGAGAGAAAAAGAGAGAGAAAGAAAATGAGAGAGAGAGAAAACGAGAGAGAAAGAAAGAGAGAGAGAAAACGAGAGAGAGAGGAGAGAGAGAAACGAGAGAGAAAATGAGAGAGAGAGAGAAAATGAGAGAGAGAAAGAAAACGAGAGAGAGAAAGAAAAAAAGAGAGAGAAAGAAAACGAGAGAGAGAAAGAAAACGGAGAGAGAAAAAAACAGAGAGAAAGAAAACGAGAGAGAGAAAGAAAACGAGAGAGAGAAAGAAAACGAGAGAGAGAAAGAAAACGAGAGAGAGAAAGAAAACGAGAGAGAGAAAGAAAACGAGAGAGAGAAAGAAAACGAGAGAGAGAGAGAGAAAACGAGGGAAAAAACTATTTAAGGTTTGCTAATCATCTAGCATATGGTGAATGGAGCCAGTTTAAAAAGTGAGGCAGGGTATTATTTAATGCCTAGAGGTGAGGCACACAAGATGATGGGACCTACTTCGCACCTGGTGGAGGATTGGCTTGTTTCTTTGTTTCAGCATTTCCTTCAACATATTAGAATAAAAATAAAAAAAATAATGTGGGGGTGCAGAGTTAAGAAATCCAGAACAACAACAACAACCGCTTGTTTTCTGCAATATGCCCCCACAAATGTGAACCAACTAACAGCAACATTTCAAGGGAAATAACTCTATTGTCAGACAGTTATTTCTCTTAATATGCTGGTCTTTATTATCTGTAAAATGGTGCAAGTTTGAATTCTTCAGCATTGACTCTTCAGCCATTTTATATAGAACATGAGTTGTCTACCTTGCTAAATTATATTGGTAGCAGTTTTTTTTCCCCAAAACTATTGATGGTATCTTGCTTTGTTTTTAATAAATTGACAAATTATTATTTTTTTTTTTTTTTTTTTTTTTTAAGAGTTGGGTGGGTAAAGATGGCAGTAGTGCAGGTAGGGATGAAGGGAGAAGGTTCTAAATTTGGAATGCCAGCTTCCATAAAACATTTACAAAGCAGTTTTCCATTTTTGTTTATTTGCTTGTTTGTTTGTTTGTTGTTGTTATGTACTTGTTTTTTTTGTTTTTTTTTTTTTTTTTCAGTCAATTAATGTGAGTTGAACAAATTAATAGTTAACAACAAAGTCAAGCCAGTGTCCACTGAAAAGACCAAGCCAACCCTATCCCTCCCAACCTGTATACTTATCCAGGACAGATGACACATATGCTGCCATATCAATGTCTAGGGTTTTAGCCCGAGTAATAAATGGGTGTTCTAATAAAGTGACATAATTTGGCCGTTCTTCAAGGTTTTTTTGCAGGCTGAAAAAAAAAAAAAAAAAAAAAAGAAAAAGGTAAACATAATCAATATTTTCTTAAAATACACAAATCTTACAAGTACATTCTTTATTATAGCATGTTTCAAACCACATTTTGCATTGTGATCCATTATACCAATTTTTCTCACTAAATGTTCCCTGAAAGGTAGCCAGGTGTGCTCAAAATTAACAGATGAGTAATTTATTAATTATTTTTATATCTTTAAAAAAAAAAAAAAAATTGCTTGAGGCACCAAACACAAGTGTCAAGTCTTTATCATTTAATATTTTAAACTGGATGCTAAATTCCTTTAAGAGAATCTTTAAGGAGTAAATAATGCTTTCCCTTTTGCCTTCCTCGACAGAGTTAAATAAATCATTATTGGTCTCTCTCTAAAAAGAAAAATAATGGATTCTTCATAAATCCATTTAAATGAAAACTCTACTGCTTAAATATATGATGTAATGTCTTAAAAATAAATGCTTATTTCAGGAGACTTCTTTATTATTTTCAAATTTCATGACTTTTCCTTATTAAAATTTAAAGTTCACCCTAGAGTTTTAGTTATTCTACAAGTGTTCCCTGAATTAAAAATGGTTCAGAAACACTGCATTATGCCTACGTGCAATAAATCAAAGAAACTCTGTAGACTAGGTTCATTTATTTAGCATTGACAATTTATATATTTCTTATGATCCACACATATTGGAATTGTATGTATCTATTTGTATGAATATAAAATTATTACTTTTGGAAAGGTTAGCAAATGTGTGTTTATAGATAAAAACAATTCCTGATTAACAGACAAGAGTGTTAAGCTATTTTAGTTCAATATTTATTCTCAACATCAGAACATTATAAAAAGTTCTGGTATTCTAGATCAGAAAATGACCATCATCAAGAAAATAATCCAAAATGTTTACTTGATAGGTTATACTTGACTGATTAATGTCCTCTGTAAAACCTGGTATTATAAAAATAAAAATCTTGTATTAATTGTAAGTTTCTACATATAACCAATTAATCCCTACCACCCACAAAAATGGGGTGTGGGTATTCAGGGATTAAAATCAGAAATCAGAAAAAGGGAACACATAAAATACACAATTTATCCAATTGATGGTGAATATTTCTCACGCTATTTTAAAGCTAATCCTCATTCTGAATAATATTATAATGATGGCGATTATTTACTATCGTCATGATGATGATGATGGTTGTTGTTGTTATGATGATCATCATCATCACTATCATGATGATAGTAGTGCATTATTATGTCAAAATTATAGTTTCACTTTTTTTCTTTTTAAAAGCAATACTGCTCCTAGCAAAAAAACAGTATAAAGCAGACAAGCCAACCTCAAGTGAATGATGTATTGAATACTACAGTTATGGTAAGAAAAAGGATGAGTGAACTTGATAATGGTCTAATTGTTAGGGTCAGAAAACTTGTAGGGCAAAACATTTCTGAAATGGCACAACTTGTATCTTTTTGGTAGTGGCATAAGGTGGGAAAAAATCTCCATAAATAGACAAAGTATTGGACAGCCACAACACATCAATGAGATGAATAGAGTCTTTCCTTCCAAGTACATGCCAACAGAAGGACAAAATTACAGGTTAGCATAATATACCACAATTTGAGATATATTAATCAGTGATTTTATGAACTAAAATAACTGTTTTTTATGATTACAACATAAAATTACTAAATATGTCAAGACACAAAAATGGACCAACGTTTAAGAAAAATGATAAAAACAGAAAAGTTATTTTTAACATTTAAAAAAAAAATGAAATGTGCAATTAAAAAAAAAAAAAAAAATACCAATAACCAATTTAAGATTTAAAAAGTTGTAGCTTACCACCGAGTGATAAAATCCTCAAATGCTCCTGTGAACATATTCTTGGGAAGTGATGGTGGCTGGCCCTCAACCACTTCTTTCAACTGCTGAAATGGATTTCCCCATCTATTGTATGGAAAACGACCTGTGGCCAATTCAATCTAAAAAGATTAAATAAAAAAAATTAAAAGGTTATCATGCCAGTGTCGAGAATCTACAAAACAACGAAAATAAAATAATTTGGATATATTGAGGCTTGCAGGAAATTTTCAACAAAGTTGTTAACCAAACACAATATCTATAACCTATAACTTGGGTATCACCTTTCATTAACCCCAGAAATAAAGGTAGATGGGTAGAAGTGTTTGGTTAAATATGAGGTTTGTCTTTTAATGTCATATTGTGTGTCATTTTTGATTCTACTGCTATATCAGCAATTCATTGTAGAGGGACACCAACAATGCATCAGACTAAATGAAAGAATTTTCTTTTTCTCCTCCCTTAATTTCAGGAAAGGGCATAATAGGCACCATTTCTTCAAAGAGATATAATGGTGGCAAGTCTCGTTCTGCTGAAGCCACAGCATGCCAAGGAATCTGGTAGCAGGAAAGCATTTTCATTTGTGTGTGTGTATATATATATATATATATATATGACAAAAAAAAAAAAAAAGTCATTCCATCATTGTCAGGATTCCACACTCATGGGGTTCAAACTACCCCCACTCAGCTCATACCATCAAAGTTCCGACCAATGCAATAGAGTTTGGCTGCAGACACATTCTGTAACATGCTTAAAAGTCAGCACCTAAAAGAAATTCTCTTTTTCCACCTACTGGACCATTTCATTGCTATGATTGAAGAGACAACTAAACTCTATAAAAAAGCCAGGTTTGTTTGAAATCCTTAGATGAGGCAATCATCCAATAATCTTTTTTTGATGGGAGGGGAGGAGTGCAAAAGTGCCTATTATTTAAGTAAAATAATTAAAATGACAAAAGTTTAATGTCACGCTAATTTCATCTTAAAAAGGAAAATTGTTCTTTAGTACTGTTTACATTTAACCATGAAATGATTCAAAAAATCTTTCATTTATAACAATCCTGTATACAAAAAAGTTAAATTTCTTGGTGTTCAAACAAACACAATTTCACTACATGCAAGAATAAAGCCAACATCTACTTGATCAATTCCTCATATCTAGGCTTAATCAAAATTAATTCTGGAAGGTTAATTTAAAACCCGAAATAAAAAAAAAACAAAAAAAACTACTACTTCTCAACTTCTCCCACAATGTGGCTCTCTTCAAAATGCAGATCAGAGCAGTTTATGAGCTTTGTATTTTAAGTCTTGCTTTTCTGCATTTAGACACTAGATCAAAGAAATGGTAGGAGGTGTCATCACTGTAATAGTGAAAGTATCCAACAAACATACAGTTTTTAAATTGGAAGCAGCATTTATCAATTTCAAACTCTCACTAGATTTCCCGATAATAGAATAGCTGCACTTACCATGGTGATCCCAAGACTCCAAACATCAGATTTAATGTCATAACGTTTACCAGTAACAGGATCAATTCGTTCAGGCTTTTAAAAGTGGGGAGAAAAAATATAAAAAAAAAAAAAAAAAAAAAAAAAAAAAAAAAAAGAAAATGAAAGTTAATATTTTTTAAAATTTAAGTGACAAAATAAAAACAAGACAATAGTGTTCATTCTTTGTTATTTTTACAAGTAATGATGGTTGAAAGATGAGAAAAATAAAGACAAAGAATTTTTTAACAGCAGAATTCTTTTTCTATTGCTTGAAATTAAAAGGAAATATGATGACCAGATCCCCAATTATAAAACCATAACCAGAGGACCATATCATATATATTGAAGTTTGTGATATCGTAATCTTTAAGGCTAAATCTCTGATCAAAGGTGAATTACCAAAGAGGAACATGGATACTATAATCAAAGGATACATTTCATATTTTGTAACATGGTAATGGTAATATTAACAACTTCCTTATAAGAAAACATTCAGCATCTATTGACCGAGTACTACTTTCAGTTGAAATTTATAAAATCTTTCTCTTAAAACAATTTTTCGGGGAAAATAGATTTCTCAAGTCCAGTAGCTGTTATCCTAATTTCCAGTATTGATAAAAGTTTCCTTTCTAACCTTTTATTTGAAATTGTGACGAACTTCAACATATTTTTTTCTTTATGTTACATAAGATATCCACTTTAATTTGCTCTAAAGTCTTCAACTGATGTGGTTTCCGTTATTTGGTAGAATTCTTTGCTTGTGATTCTGTAACAGCAGTTCACAATGTTCAAAGGGTGGTCTTCAAGATTCACAGACTTCACTCGCTCGGAACCTCTTTTAAATATTGATCTTAGAAAAGTATGACTAAAGAAAGGTTGCATGACCAACTAAGGACATGTTGCCAGATTATGATGTAAAGTTTACCAGTAACAGTAAAGTAGTAACAAGTAAACATTTATGCTCTTCTCTGCATTTTCATGTAGGCACATTATTTGCAATGAGGCAAACTTGTCTCGTTTAATCCTTTTCTGTATATGTCGAAAGCAAGTGCTATCATCCACCAAACTAAGTTCAGTTGTATTTTTCTTAGATTAGAGGCTAGTGCAGAAGTGCTTGTTACACTGATTGACCAAAACATTGTGACCAGTAATGTGTGACAACAACAAGAGCTATTGTATTATATATCAAAATCAGAGGTACTTAAGTAGTTAAGCCTATTTCAAGTACTTAATGTTGATGGGTTGAGTACCAAAGTTTCAGAACAGGTTTACCACTTTGTTTTAGTATTGTGACTTTTGTTCGTATATCATTCTATTACACATGTTGTGTGTGTGTGTGTGTGTGTGTGTGTGTGTGTGTGTGTGTGCACACACACACACACGATGGTCATTCCTTGTGGTGGAGAGGTTTACGCGGTCCAGTGACTGAGAGTGACGTTGTCAGGAGTTCTAAACTCCTGGTAGAGCCACTTTTGGCAGCAAGGTCAAAGACAAGGACATGCTACATAAGTCGCCACTCAAAATTACGGCGGCAGTCCATTTCAGTTTCATAACTGGATTCTGCATGTCTCATTCCATATTTGCCATAGAGGAAAGTAATGAAATCAAGTTGAGGTCCACCTTAAACAAATTCACGCCATCAGCATTTTTTTCTCCTGATTTTCTTTCACCTCCAACCAACTCTTTCAAAACCAAACGTCAATAGGGAATGGATGACAGGAGCAAGTTTTAGTAAAACAGAGCTTCTAGTCCTAAACCTGTTACATGTTGGTGACAAATTTAGTTATCAATGCCATCATCATAAAGGAAGTGATCAGCAAAGAAGAAATAAAATTCTTGAATATGAGATAAAGCTGCCACTGCCGACACATGATTCCGATATAAAGAAATTTATATATATTCTTCCAGAAATAACACATGTATAGATATATTTTACATAGGCGTGCATGCATTATATATAAACTGTAATAAACTAAAACATTGTGATCAGCAACAATATGACAAGAATAATAGCTACTTTCTTGTAACAACTTTATATGTCAAGATTAAAAGATATATGATCAGTTATACCTGCCTCAAGTACTTCATGTTGAATACGATAGTTAAAGAAAATAAAGAAAAATTTGAATGACAATGTTGCTAAGGTCAAACGTCTAGTCAGGATACGTGCTCATTTTCAACTATGGTGAGTAACCATCAGCAGAGGTTGAAAGAGGAAAAAAAAAAATATCACCAACTGTCAACAGGGTATTAAAAGTGGCTAGGGTTTATCAATGCAACAAGCACAAGCCAACAGAAAGGCTACTGTGGCACAAAGATAGCTTTATTCACAGCGGTGGAATAAATGTATTAAAGATATGCAGTACATCAATTTCTCTTACATATGCCTAGCTGCAAGCCAATCAGACTATCTATCCTAACCAATAGACATCAACATTAGTGTTTTCAATGGGCACATAACCATCAGAACTAGACCTTGTATCAATGGAAAATGTTTACCTGGTCCTATGACACTTGTATTGTCCTGAATAAAATAGGTGGAAGAGTATGTGAGAGCAACAAATGCATATAGAGGTTGCATAATCTAAAATTCCACAGGTGAGAAGTGCAAGAAAAGAAACTATTAGAATAGAACTTAGAGTTATATCTATTTCAACAGTAAAACAATGAGACCTAGTTATCAATCTAGTAGTATACTTAAATTCATGCAGCCAAAGTACCATATACAGTGTAGCCCAGATATAAGAGAGTTGTCGGGACCGGAGAAGTCTCTTATATCCGGGTTTGGTCTATTTTGTTTAGGTAAGTATGGCTCTAATTTGGGACCAGAGAAAATCTCTTATATCCGGGTTACACTGTGTGTGTGTATATATATATATATATATATATATATATATATATATATATGCACATGTCATTAAAAATGACCTAAGTTGTTGGGGGGTACTGTATTTTTGTTGTGTGCAAACAAAAGATTTTTTTTGGACATGATGTGTGCATAAATTGTCTAAATGGTTGTTAGTTTGACTAATCTATTAACCATTTTCAAGGATTTGGGTTGTGCTTTTGTAAATTTTTGTAAATAGTGTGTAAATTTCTGAAAGGTAAACCTCTTTTTAATTCCTGAAAATGGCAAGTATATTATTGCTGTGTTCATAATTGATGTTGTTAAGAGTTAGCATTTTGTTTTTTTTATGTTGAATATTGAAGTTGATAATTGTTCATATTAGTTTAAATGGGATCTTGTGTAGCTATGTGAGACACGTAAAGTCAGGGCAACTCAAATCTTTGAAAATGCCTAACAAATTAGCTGAAGGTATTCACAACAATCATTTGGACAATTTCTACACACACTAAATTAAAAAAAAAAAAAAAAAAAAAAAAAAAAGGAAAAGAAACCTTGTTTATACACAAGACAATAATCTGAATTAACCAAAATAAAATGATTAAAGGGTGCTGAAAATTTTTGGCCACAAACCAATTTTCAAAATTAGTACTTTAATGACCAAAAATCCAATTTTGATAAGTGTGTTGACAGCTTTTCAACACTCACCCACTATATGTCATGAATCATGTTCATTATTTACATTTAGACTAATGTCTTTATTTTTGTTGTTGTTATCACAATGTTTCTTTCAAAGATGATGATATTAGTCTGAATGTAAATAATGACTCCTCATTTGAGAAATTCAGTCAGGAACCATGTTTAGTATGTATATTGCAAAGATGCACTGTGAAACATATGGCAAGATATGTTCATGCACTCTAAAAATCCCTCAAGATGATTGCAGTCCTAATAGAAAATGTAGTAGCATTTCATTCCCTTCAGAAAAAAAAAATTATTGCATACTTACCGCCATGTAAGGTCTGCATCCTGCATCCATAGTGTTGGCAAAAGAATCCACTAAATAACCACTAATCCCAAAGTCACATATCTTTACATTACCAGCTCTGTTGACCAATATATTAGATGGTTTTACATCCCGATGAATTACTTTGAGCTTGTGTTGGAGATAATGCAGTGCCTGTACAACCTGAACAAAAAATATAAATAAAGGAAATAAAGGAAGAAAACGGGGAGAGAAGATGGGGAAAGATGCCAACAGGGAGAGAAGACGGGGAAAGACACTAATGAAGAGAAATGTCGATAAAAGAAGATTCAGGAAGACAGAAGAGGCCAATTGATGTTGCACTTAAATTTTTAAAGATTATAGGTGACAAGAAAACCAGAAGAGAGTTCCACAGACAAGAAAAGAAACTATTAGAATAGAACTTACAGTTTCCGCTAGCTATTTCAAGAGTAAAAGGATAAAACTTAATTCCCAATCTAGTACTGCATTTAAATTCATGCAGCCAAGAACATCAGAACAATTGCTGTAAAAATATTTATAGAAAAGACAGTGGAAAGCCACCTTATGGCAGCAAGAAATAAAAAATCTCAAGATATATAGCAAGAGCACCAAGCCAATTGTTTCAGCAATATTTGATGCACAGATGAATTATAATTGTGGAAGATGGATTCCAGCAAAAAGAATTGTCTGGCACAACACAGTGAAATAATTTTCTTAGTAGCAAACTTAGCAATTGATTCAATATAATCATTCCACTTCATGCCAGTGGAAATTGTGAGAAAAAGAAAGTGTAATTGATTTGCTGTCCTGGAGGTAGACATCAGCCATACTGATGGACTGCAAAATCAAAGGTCCTCAACCCCATCTCCTCCCACAGGGCCATGGACTGATACCAGACTGTGGATCATTTGCTGCTGGGCCACACAAAAAGAATAAAAATTGTTTTTTTTTTCCTCATTTTATTAAGTATTGCAGTCATTTATTGTGTTTTGTTACATCACTGACTCTCACCCCCAAGGTTCCATGACAAAATTGTTTTACTTGACACTGGCCCATGGTGGAGAAAGTTGGGGACTGCTGCTCTAAATGACAAAAAGACAATAAAGTATACAAGCCATTTCTTGCCCCAGCTGTCATTTTTTGAGAACAGCTACCAGTTTTACTTTATATCAGATATATGGAACTTACTATTAAGACAAATAAATAGTTGTTATCAACATAAGTACCAACTTGAGAACTGATGCCTCAACTTCTCCACACCTTAACTGAAGGTCGTTAATGAAAATAAGAAACACAGTAGATCCAAGAATAGAGGGGGGTGCTTGTATTAATTGAAAAGAACTAGGAAATCAGTCATTCAACATGATTTTCATTACATGATTTGTTAAGAAAAATTGGACCAAATTGAAAATTCAAAGACACCATAGCTCTGAAACATGTGAAGAAGACCTGTCTGCCAAATCTTGTCAAATGCCTTTGAGATATCTATGGCTTGAGCATCGCTATTAAAATAAACCTGTTCTGAAATTTTTATTTATTACCATATATACAGAGTATGATGGATAAATTGCCGTCTAAATTATGCAAATATTAAAATAATATGGACATCAATTTTAACAGATATATTTACCAAAATTACACAAAAATATCTTGAAATATTAAACAGTAATTATTCAATAAGATCTCCATTGGCATCAACCACAGCCTTCAGATGACTTCAGAATCTACTGCAACTCTTTTGAACAGTCTCCCCGTTTAAGTTGGTAAATGTTGCTATAATCCTTGCCTTCAATTCATCTTTGGTATTACAAGAAGTTTTGTTGGTCTTTTGCTCAACTGAGCCCCACACATAATAATCAATGGGGTTGCAGTCTGGGGATTTTGGGCAGATGTAAGGGGTGATGTGTCTGACAGCTATGACTGGGTTCTCCTGCTTGTGTGGCATGGTGCAGAGTCCTGTTGCCAGAGATAAGGGGCTTCCAGCAGCCACCATCTTCCCCCAGGGCAGTACTACTACCTCTTCAAGGGACTTTATGCTGACCTCTGTGTTGAATCAACAACAAATTCAGGGAGTTCCTTTCTTATCAGAATGATCAGAGTGAGTTTTCTTATACCTTTATAATCACCATTAGACACATCCATCTCTTTTCAAATCCTCTACACTGTCCTCAGATTGACACCCAAACACTCCAAAATATTCGTATTGTAGCTTCCAGTGCAAATGCCAAATAGTACAGCATGCCTTTTCCAAATTTCTAGCAGATTAAATTGCGTCATGGTGCTATTTTTCTCATGGACAGTGCCCAATTGACCTTACTACACTATACAGCTGACAAAATCAAAAACAAACATGCATGCGTGAAATCAAAAATATAAAATGACAACAATTTACCCATTGCACACAGTATACAGCCTGCAATATTATGGGCAGAATTTATTAAACAAATACAATTTCAATTTATTGTAATAAGAAACAAATTCTGGTCCTAAGCTAAAAGATATTTTAATACTAACAGTATAGTATGGCTAATTGTTTGTTTCCAGATATGTCTGTCTACTAGAGTGCCTAGCTAATCACTATTAGACACATTGTGGATCATACTGCAACTATGCTGAGCAGACAATAGTTACAGTTTCTGGGAGACTGTATTCTTCCACTTAAACACCAAATTTTGCTTTTATCTAAAGTTTATTTGAGCAATCTGTTTTGCACTCAAATCGCTTTACTACAGCAATACATTAACACTCATGAAGAAATTGATTGTTAGGAGTTAATGCAAGCCTTACTAATAGAATAGGAGAATTGTATGTTTAATGTAAAAGGCATTTACTATAAAAATATATACATTGAAAAACAGGAAGAAACTGATTGTCAGTGGTCAGAAATTAATGCAAACATTATTGATAGAATATGGCTATCTTGAATATAAAAATAAATCTACTTACTGAAGAAGCAATAATAGATAAAACGTCCTCAGGTATAAATGTATCTGTGTAAACCTTCTTATAAAATTTGTCTAAAGAAGCGTCCATAACTTCCATTAATATCCAAACGTCACCCTGGAAAAAAAAAAAAAAAAAAAAAAAAAAAAACATTGAGTCAAAAATTCAAGGTAGGTAACTCTTAAGGAAAAGAAATAAAATAGAAGGGGTTATAGATTTTTCTTTAATTTTTAATCATTTTTAAGTTAATTTTTTTGTTTTAAGTAAAGATTTCTTCAGTCATCACTATCATCAAGTGACATGATGGAAATATCTTGTACAAGTTAACAGCAAGTAAATGAATGCTTATGTTAAAACTAAAAAATATTATTTGAACTAATATCCTCATCTTTAGTTTTTTTTTTTGTTTTGTTTAATCAATGTTTTATTAGACATGACCAGAGAAGGAAAGATTAGCTTTAAAAAAGAACAGGAAAAAAATAAAATAAATTAAAAAAACTGTCTTATTCTTACTGAATAAACTAAATGGATATTTTGGAAATCCAAAATATACAGTTTCAACTTTTTTGTCAATTCAAATCAAAAAATATATAATACTCGGTTAAATCTTTCAAATATTACTCCATTTTTATTTTTTTTTAAATTACACATCTTCATAGCAACACAAAACTCTGAGAATGCAATACTTTTAAAAATCTGCTAAGTTATTTGAAAATGATGAAACCAACAGAGCAGAAAATACAAAAACTCTTTGATAATGCCTTATGAAAGGTAAAAAGTACCCAAACATTGGAAAATTTATATTTATATAGTACTTGCTCAATAATACTCACTTGGAAAGTAACCTGGACAGTGAATAGTATAGAGACTATCAGTCCATATAGTAATAGAGGATAAAGTAGAAATAGTGATCCGTATAGTATAGAGGATAGACTAGGAATAGCAATCGTTAGTCGTCAGCTACTTCCTACATATATGTGTTTCCTCTATGGTCACATGGTCTACTTAATTCAATAATGGGATCACCTGTGTTTGCTCGCTGGTGATCTATGTTCAAACTCAAGTGTTGGCAGCCACATTTTATTTCTATATAACACCTCCTCTTTGGGATGATTTCCTCTGGAGTCTATGTTTCTTCAGCTTCGGTTCAATATTCAAATATTCCATTGATATTCTTTTTCTTTTACTGTACATCCTTGGTTCACTAACTTCTGGTGACGTGAGTACATCAAACATGTCATACAATATTTTCATCGGTACCTCTTTTCATGGACTTACTAAATCAGTTAATCTCCATTTTAACTGATTAAGGTGTCACTTATATTCCCACCTTTGTCTCTGTACCAATTATGTCATTTTGCCAATCTGTTTTGGGTTTTTTTTTTATAACACCATCTTCCCAGAATTTTTTTTTACATTGGTACATTTTAAAAAACACTTTATCATCAGGTTTAAAATATTTATTTATATTATTTTGATTCCTTGATGTTCTCATCTTCCATTTTGGTAGTAATTTGTTAAATATGGACTTAACCTTCCTGGCAAACAACAACTCTGCAGGCGACATTCCAGACATGATATATATTACACACACACACACACACACACACACACGATAGTAATTAGCAAACCCTAAAAATGCTTGTAACTTTATAACATTTGTTAAAGTGGGAATGTCTTTTATTGCACCTACCCTTGAATGATCCGGTCATCTATAGTTTTCATTGATAATTTGTCCTAGATATTTAAGTCTGGACATAAACAATTTACATTTTCCTTCACTAATCTTAAAACCATATTTGTCAAATACTTTTTTATGTCTTCTGTATGCTGCTTTCGGGTCTTACTCTTAATAAGTACGTCATCCAAATATGCTTGAGCACAATCCAAACCGGCAAGCATCATATCCATTAACTGTTAGAATATGCTTGGTGCTATCTTTATGCCAAAAGGAAATTGTTTGCATTTGTATAATCCTCTATGAGTGTTAATTGTTAATAGTTTTGAGTACTCTTCGTCTACTAGTACTTGTAGATAAGTGTCTGACAGGTACAATTTAGAAAAAAAATTTACCACCATTCAATCTGGCAAAAATTTCACCTGGACTTGGTAATGGGTAGTTGTTTTAAAATTTCATTTAACCCTGTTGAAAAATCAGCACATACTTGGATTTTATTATTTCTTTTTTTAACATAGACGGTTGGTGATGACCATTCAGAATAGTCTATTTTTTTTGAAATCACATCTAATTTTTCTAGTCTGTCAAATTCATTATTAATTGGATCTAAGGCCACAAAAGGTACACTCCTTTTTGGCTTAAATGTCTGTTACATTCTCTTTTAATTCGTGTATGTGGGGAAAAACATTTTCGTGTATGTTCCTAGAGCGTCTGAGAAAACTGTTTTTTCAGTTCATTTTTTTAATTTTTCAGTTGCCATATTAGCACCAGAAGTAAACAATAATTATCTTGTTGCAAAAAGAGTTAATTGGAAGGTCCCAAAGATCAAATAATGCAACCCAGTCTGTCCCAAACAAAATTAGTAGTATTCTTTCATACAAACACCACCACTTTTCTGGTTTTGCCAACAAAAGAAACATTACAGGTGAATTCACCCAAAAAGTTCAATTTCTTTCCTGAGACTCCATACTCAACTTTATCAGAAGTCAAACTACTGGGTTTACCCATTTTTCTCCATGTCTGTTCATTTATGATAGTGATATCAGATCCTATATCCAGTTGCAATTATATTTTTACATCATTAATTTGCACAAAAACAAATTTTCTCTTTTGAGATATCTTGTTAATTTCCCTTTTAGGCTTCTCATTACTCCATGTATTTATCATGTTCACATACGTTTTCTCCATTTTTTTGTATCTGCAACATGTACTTTTGTGCCCTAATCTCCCACATTCATAACATTTTTTTTATCTTACAGAAACAATCACTTTTAAAATGCTTACCTCCACAACCATGACAAATATTAGGCATTGAGGGAAATTTATCGTCTTTTTTCCTATTCTGTTAGGAGTTGAAGAACGTTTGTAGTTTTTTCTTTTAAATGGTCGGACACTATGTACTTGTGAATTCCACTATTTTCTGGATAGCTAATTTGAAATTCATTTCTAATTTAGCAAGTATCCTGGATCTTATCTCCAGTCCTTATTAGAAGTTAAACTCTGAATATCAGTCATTTAAATAAATCAGGAACTAAATCATTTAACTTGATCTTTTCACATTCTTCATTTACAACTCCTGTATAAGTGACAAAATCTTCATCGTCAGACTTTACAAAAACATTGTCATCATGCATTAAATAAAAAAATTTTGGGTAGTATTAGAACAGCTTCATCAAAATTTATCTCTTGGTTTTTTTCAACAAAATATAATTCACATAATTTTCATGTTCTGCAGGGGACAGTTTCCTTAATAATAAACAAACTTTCTTTTCATCATTCCGATACAAACAATCCCTTTTGATGATCCCTTCGTATCTTCTATAATAAGCTGGAAAGTTATCCCTTCGTTTGGATTGTACGCAAATTCACTGACTGAATTAGCAACAGCATCTGGAGTGAATGAATCTGAAGTTTTTCCTTCCATGGTTTTGGTAAACAACTCAAAAAACTTCTGTTGTTGTAGTTGCAATTGTAATTGCTGTTCAGTTTGCTGTTGTTGTTGCAGCAAATGTTGTTCTTGTTGTTGCTTCTGTAGCACCAACATTTGAATCATGATAGCTTTTAGATCTTCCATTTTGCTGAACTACGCTGAACAAACCCTTGTGTAAGTTAAAGGAATTCTTGAGAATTGTGATGTCAACGAACACTCGTTGTCACTTTCGTAATAATCGTTGTTATAGACTTTGTAATCGCAGATACAACTATAGTAATGTCATTGGACAATGCTGGTATCAGATGCCTTCAAATGACACTCGCACCAATAGTACTTGCTTGATAATACTCACTCAGAAAGTAACCCAATAGAATAGTGAATAGTATAGAGAATAGAGTAGAAATAGCAACATCAGCTACTTCCTATATATATATATATATATATATATATATATATATATATATATATATATATATATACCTAGTGAGTTAGACAAACCTACCTAGGTTTCACCTAAACGGATCGTCAGGAAAGTGGCCACACTTTCCCTGACGATCCGTTTAGGTGAAACCTAGGTAGGTTTGTCTGGCTCACTAGGTGTATCTAGGTTTGCTCTACGATTGTATTGAGCTCTTTTGTTAGTTAGTTGTTACTTGTATCGGGGTTTTTTTTTGGGCTTCAGACCTGCATCTGTGCGATTTTTTGTCGGCAGAAGTTTATGTTTGTAGCTCTTTCTTTTTTTAAAACCTTTTTTCCCTCAAAATTGATTTGATTAACAAATCAAAAATTCGAGGGTTTTTCGAAACGAGTCTAGTTATTTATATATATATATATATATATATATATATATATATATATGTGTGTGTGTTTCCTCTATTGGTTACATGGTCTACTTAATTCAATAATGGGATCGCCTGTGTTTGCTCACTGGCGATCTATGTTCAAACTCAAGTGTCAGCAGTGACAACTTTATTCCTATATAACAGCCCCACCAGGACATTCATGCTGACATGTTTGCTACATTAAGAGATGATGTTCCAGCTTTATCAACAGTGTAAAAGAGGACAGTTGCATTTAAGAGGAGAAGGGAGAGTACTGAAGATGTCTTATGGTCTTACAACTGCAACCACCAAGGAAAACTATATCTTCACTACATGGTGATAGAAGACAAGTGATTGACTATAAATCAAATAGCAAATGCTATTAGCATATCCCATGAAGGAGACTATTCTGCACAATGAACTTGGCACGACAAAGGTTTCTGCTTGGTGAGTGCCACATCTGACACCTAATCAAAAGCACACATCACAGGAAAACCTGACATTGAGACAGATCCAGCTGATTTCCTTGAACATATCATAACCCAGGATGCATGTTGGGTTCATCACTTTAAGCTAGAGACAAAGAGAGAGTCCATGAAGTGGAAACACCCACTCCTCACCTGCTCCAAAGAAGGCCAAGGTCGTTCCATCTGCAGAGAAGATGGCCTCAGTTTTTTGGGGATGTAAAAGGCTTTGTGTTTATTGACTATATCTTCAAAAGAGCCACACTCTCAATGGAGAGACAGTTACAAAAGCTATCAAGACCAAACACTCAGGAAAACTGATAAAAAGTGTCTTGTTTAATCAGGACAATACTTGAGCACACAAACCCTGCTGCACATAACTGGCTTTGAACTGGTTGATCACTCTCCCTATTCACCTGATTTGGCCTCATCTGACTATCATCTGTTCCCCAACATGAAAAAAAAAACATTTGGCTGGGGACCAGTATCACAGTAATTATGACATCAAATCTGCTGTTGATGCCCATTTTGACTAACAGGATGGATGAATAAGATTATGTTTTAAAAATAAAGATTATTTGGTCATGTTCAATGAGAGTATTTTGGTCAGCATATGAACTTTTCAGCTGACCCTGATACAAATTATAATTGGCAGCAAGAATTTATCAAAACAAGTTTTATTAAATTCAATTTTCTCTTTAATCTTTTTTTATTCTATTTTTCCAATTTTCAAATAAGATGCATATCAGGGTCAAAATTATAGGTAAACTATCCAAAATTCATATCTTGTTCTGTTCAATTACCATCATCTCAAAAACTGATAGACAAGATTTTGCTGGCTACATATTGGCATTGGAGGTGGGGGATGCTAGAATTTAAATTAAATGGTGTCATGCATAAAATGGTTACATGGAGCAAGACCAGATAGAAAAATATATATATATATATATATCAAATATGTATTATTATTATAATCTTGTATGCATTTTAAATATTTTATAAACATTTAAAAATGCAGTCTCCTGTGGTAAGAGACATTTTATTTAATAATAATTTATTTGTATAACAATAACTTTAAGAATTTTGAGACTTTCCTTGCAGTGAATGCTGTATAGTATTTTGGTATTATCTACTAATATTTGTTGATAGTTGTATTTTGGTTATGATGTGAGGATAGATATATGTACAAGTTATGCTAAATTTTGATAAGTGACAAGAGAGTGTGGTGCATGAGTGGCTAATGTAAAAATTTCATGTTTTTTGATTATTGATTTTAGAAAAGCAATCTCCCATAGGACATGAAAATCCCTAACAATATTGTTTTAACAGGTTTGAGGGGGGGGGGTCTTAGTTATTTGTAATAATTAGGTTAGATGTTTTGAGCTTTTCATAGTAAATGATAAATTTAAGGTATTTTTAAGATTATTAAGTGATGCATACTAATAAATAAATCTTGTCTACCACACTAACATCAAGTTTGTGGTAAGGAATAAACTGACATTAAATTACTAAAAATATATAATTGAAAAAATATATTTAAAAAAGTCATATGCAAAAACTATTTCATAATAGTTTCATATATGCTGCCATTTTCAATGAATCAGAATTGCTAAAATGCTGTGTTTTCAGGTTAATAGCATCCCAAAGAGGAAATTTAAATACAACTAAAATCAAAGTTCAAGTGTATATATTAATGTTTTGTATTTGGGTAATCATCAAAACAAATTTTAATCAATTTGACTCACCTCTCGAAACAAGGCGCCGAAAGATTGTACTGTATAAATACATGAGCCACTTTTCATAGAAACATCCAAATCCATTAATAATCGTTTTTCCTCTTCATCATTTATGGCTGCAGTTATCCTCTGTTAAAGAAACATTAAGAAAAAATAAGTTGCCAGTTGTAAGCACAACAAATAGAAAGGGTTTAAAGATATTGAATTAGATGCTTAAAAAAGATGTTCCACAACTTTTATACACCTGGTACAAAGTAGATTGACTATCTGATTTTTGTTTTTGTTTTTTTATGTCTTATCAACCCCGTCCAGGTTATTTAAAGTCAGAAAATATTTTTAAACTGTAAGAATTTTTGGGAGATAATATTAATATTACGGATACAAATTCTACTAATTAACCTACAGCTGGGAGAAGTGGTGCAGTTGTAACATTCCCAAGGGTATTTGCATGCAAATGAACCTGACTAGAATTGGAACTCAGTTCTTCAATTTTAATTCTAAACTGTTATCCAAGGTTACAGAACATGGTATTCCCTAGCAGTCACTTACCTAGATAATGACCAAGCTTGATGTTGCTTAACTTCAATGATCGTACAAGAACTGGTGTTTCAATGTGATATGTAAGCTGTAAGCTGGTACAAAGTAGGTTTTTATTCTTATTTTATACATTTTGTAATTATAGAAAACCCAAAACAAGTCCTACAATCTGCATCCAGTGCAATTTCTATTAAAAAAGGGGGGGGGTGTATCTTTCTATATATAAAATTCTGTGAGTTCTGTTAGATCATCCATCACACCTTAAAATAACTATACATTGACTGATTGAAACCAAATTTTGGGGAGAAGTACAAACAGGTAAGGAGGTACAAAGTACAGTTGGTTTCAATAGGATACATAGCTTAGTACAATAAAAATTTCGTTCATTTTCGGGGAAAAATTAAAAGCTTTATTATTTAATATAAAAAAATACTCTATTTTAAAAACAATTTAATAATTAAAATACAAATACATATTTAGTAAAAATGCAATATTGTTTTTTGCATATCTTTTAAATTTTTATATATATTTAATTCTGGTAAAATATAATGCACAGTAGTAACCACTGTAAATATAAACATAGTAGGGAAAGTTATGGGCAGAGGACGCAATTACTTCAACAATACTGTGAATATTTCAACACACGTTGGCATGTTGCAAAAAATTCTAGTGTTTACACAATTCAGAATGCAAAAAGAATAATTTTTTTTTTTTAGGTTATGTTAAAATATTGATTTTTTTAAAAAAATGACTCCAACTAAATAAATAATCTAATAAACTAAAAGGAATAGTTCTATAATTCTAAGTCAGCTACGTTTGCTTCAGTTGCAAACAAATTACCAAAGATTCCTTATTAATCAATACATTCTAAGAAAAATTTGAATTTATACTGCGAACCAACTTAAAAAAAAAAAAAAGTACATACACATTTCATTTTTAAGTAATTACTGCTATAATGTATTTCTGTCTAACTGACCAACTGTAATACTGTTCTTTCCTCTGTTCAGTTTTTTACCAGTTTATTTTTTCCCTGTAAATAATAAAATGTACTCAATGTAAACGCAAGGGAGATTATTCGTATTTACTTTTTGGCCAGAAAATTTTAGAAATTTTAGAAACTTTGGTATAAATTACTAAATGCTCAATTATTCCCTGCCCAGTTGGTATAATTGATATCCTTCAAACTATATTTTGACATCCCATAATACAATAGTAACCAATAATAAGAGTCAATTATCTGAAAGAGTCTGAAAATTGAACAAGTCAAAATGTGGAGGGGACATCAATGTCTAAAATGAGAATGTTTTAAGAAAAAAAATTGCTACAAGTCTGACATTATATCTTTAAAAACATCTAAACTATTTGTATAACTTTGATCAGATGAAAGCTCATGAATAAGGATGCTACAAAGCAAATGAAAAACAGGCATTACTGAAGGAAAATGGTTTCTCTATAAAAATTAAGATTTTTTGGGGTGACTAATCTTTGTTGATTTAGCATTCATTAGACCTTCCCCTACAAACGACATTTGTCAGAATAAAATTGACTTTTTATTATTTTAATTGCTTCCAATTTTTTTAGTTACCTTTACCTCGTTTTTATTTACAAAAAAAATCAAATTTGAGTCTGTACCAACATCATTAATGACGATATTAAAGATAACTATAAAAAAAAACAAAAAAAAAACACAGAAATATTTGACACTGTTTATATTATGAACAAAACCTACCCTCTAAAATGATGATATAAAAAAAAAAAAAAAAAAAAAAATTGGGGGAGGTTATTCTGGTCTTATTAAGCTCTTACCTTAACAGCCATAATTGTGCCACTGGGTTGATGTTTCATTTTTTCAACAATTCCATAAGCTCCACGGCCAAGGGTACACAGGATCTCCAAGTCATCAGCATCACAATTAAATTTCTGACCAGCAATATTAATCTCAGTTCGAGAATCCAAATTCCGCGGTGGTCTGGAAAAAAAAATATAAATAAATAAATGCATACACACACACACTATTATATATATATATATATATATATATATATATAAGCAAAATGAAATACAGTGTTTAAGATTTGGTCTATTTAGGAAAGCAAAGTGCTCAATATTGGAGATTAAATGCTTGTAAATATGGACTATGTGGGCATAGAAATCAACACTGCGTGTAACTGTCAGTTGCATACACCTCAAGCAATCTTGAGGTTCTATATATATTAAAATCCGAAAATCAGTTTGGCCAATGAAACACTGATTTTAAGAAGTGAGATGGGCCCAAAACTTTTCAGCATCTCTTTATATACAGGTGTATCAATTTTTTTTTTAGCTTGCCATAAATAGATGATAACCTAACATGATATGGCATGTACAAAATTTTACTACAGCATCTTCCAATGTGATAAAGGAAATGGAAAAGTATACTGTTTGTGGCATGAGCCACCAACCACAGTAATTTGAAGATAACTAGCTTCCTGAAAGCAGCCAGATCCTTTATATTCAAGGTTAGGAATAATCGGTGGATGGACAGATCATCCATAACCAAGAGAAGAAACATTGCAAGCACTTGGATGTTGTAAGAAATCATTCAGAGGGTGAAAGATATTTTCTCCTTTTCTTCTTCATTGGTTGTTTTTGTTTATTGTGCAGGTGCAAGAGCATCATCCACATCAGTAGGCCCCCTTCCAGGTAACTGGCTAGCTGTATGCATGGCAGTTCTCTCTCTAGATCTCCAAATGTATCTATGAGGATCGATGGCAGAGAGAAGAAGCTCTCTGCAAACACATCCTGTCAGCTCCCTCCATGATATCTTGAGCCTCCCAAGTACTTGCTTTCCTTTAACCTGAAAGTAAAGGTTGCACTTGACAGCATCACTGGAATGCTGTCACAGTTACACTTGACAGCATCACTGGAATGCTCCACATGTCCATACCAGCAAAGTCTTTTTTCTCTCAGAACGAGGTCAAGATCCTAAAGACCAAGAACTCACTTGATGGCCACATCAACTGGCTTGATGTTACAGATCCATCTGATCATGACCCTGTCATTACACTGCAAGTGCTGGAGGCCTGGCCTGGTCATTCAGCAGGTGCAGGATATCATCAATAGCAATCCCCAGCAAGTCAATGAGGGCCATTATCAAATATGATGTAGGAAGATATCAAGGACAAGTCCAATGTGATGAGGAGGGAGAAGTTCATTTTCTAAGAAGTCACAGGAAAACCAGTTGATCCAATCAAAGTGCTTGCTGAACAAATTCAAACATTTGAAAATAGGAAGAAGTTTGGCCAAGTCCAGATGAGCAGAAACAGGAGGTTCTACACAGTCCTCACAATGATGTACAAGTTCATGTGGTCTATGATGGTCCTGGAAGTGTTAGAAATGAGAGCTATGTCATACCATCCCACCTCTTCATGAAGTTACTCAGGGCCATCATAACCTACATGGAGTGGCTAAAACTTGAATTGAGAGTGTGACCTAGAAAAGACCATCAGTATTACTGCCGGATTCTACTCCCACCCACATAGCCTTTGTGAGCCAGAAGTGACTAAGAATTTTCACAATGTCACCCACAACATATAGCTTCCTTGCTCTCCTATTTGAATCCTCTGGTTTACTATGTCTGAGATGCTGTTGAAAATGAGATCCATTAACAACCACCCCACTCAATAGTAAAGACTTGTTAAAGGCCACCCCCATGTCTGTGATAACCAACATTAATAAGAACCACTTAATCCAAGCAGGAAGTCACTTCTGAGATCATATTAAGGCTATTCTCAAATTTGAGGATAGTTTTATTGAATAATCTTATTCCATCTTTAGAAGTTGAAGATTTGAAAAATATATACTGATTTATCTTTTTAATTGAAGGTTTGTTTTTCTTCATAATTTGTCCTTGATTACTTGGTATACCCTATAAACATGATGCATATCTCTCTCTTATATAACACACACACACACACAAAGAAGGTGCTCAAATATTCTCACATGACCCACTTCCTAAAATCTAATCAAATAACAAAGCATTAATTTTGGAAGGTGTGTGTGTGTGTATATATAACGCATAATTAGGTGTAGCTTTACTGGCATAAGAATAAAAAAAACATTCTTGCCAATTTTGAGAAATTTACAGTGCTTTTGTCTAAAATGATTGAGAATGTTTCCAGCCACCAATGCACACAGATACTGCATGGAAGCAGTACCTAACTCAATATATGGAACCTCTATAACCCCTTTTTTTCATTTACTATAAATACTACCTCATAATTCAAACAACACATTAGTCAATGCAAAAAATATCATTGGAAAAAAAACATTTAAAAGTACAGGATCACTGCATATGCTAGCCTGAATTAAGAGGATGGTCAACTGTCAAAGCTAAAAGGGTGATAACTCATGGTTAACAATCAGAATATATTCATCCTAAACATCCGCATTTGACCTATAATAATGAAAAGTTGGCCATCCTATTTTTTTCTGTTGCAAAAGGGATAAAATAGTTTCTGCTTATCCATTGACTATATATTCTACAACTTCCAGTTGATGGTTGAAATTGGACTGTACTAATTTCTATACATACTATGGTTTTATTATACATACATGCCTATGATAAAGTTTAATGTATACATTATTGACGCAATAAGAAATTAGTAACAATAATAAAATTGAACAATAATAAAATTGAACAATTATAACAATACAGTATAATTATAATTTTTTGGTGTTGACTATGGATAACTGAAATAATAGATAAATGGTGACCACCATATATCTGTTTGTTTGCAGCTACTTTTTCAGTCTACTAAAGTAATCAGGCCTGCCTAACGTCTTGGGCTGTAATAGGCCTTATCTTGTTATGCTGGCTTATAATATGTTGGTATGGGTGTGGTTGGATTCAGTGTCATCATTTTCTGGAATAAATTCATTAACATTTGGGATTTGTTTTTCAACTGGTCATTTTATAAACTCTGTCCAATCCTAAAAAAAAAACACTGCTCAGGAATTGATTTTAACAGAATTTCAATCATTTAAAATTTCTGATGCTACACAACTTTAGACTCATTAACAACTCACATGGCAATTTGTCAGACTTAAAGAGACTTTAGTTTGTAGTCGGATTGTTGAACTTTGGAATCAGAGACTATCACAACGTGCAATAGTTGAGCAAATTAAACAAAACCACTGCGAAAAATCTTTCATGTGATCAAGAGGGTTATAGAGTTAACAGACGAGGTTGACCCAAGATAATGACTGATTGTAAGGCAATTCTCAGAGCATTGCAGCACAAGAACAATGAAGTTAACAAATAGAAGATGAGGCAAGCAATTAACTTCAGGATTCAATCTGATCAAAAGACTGCAGTGTCCAACTTTAAAAATGAATCACAAATAATCATGTCTAGTATTTCATCAAACATGGGATAACAAGCAGTAAAGAGCCCTATTCAAAGTCAAGGAAAAATTAAACCTGAATGGCAGAAATGTCCTCCAGTATTCCTGGCATGACCATTGATCACTAAAGGAATCTTTTTCAAAGCATCTGAGCAGAAATGAGAAATACAAATAAACGGCATTATCCATAATTTTGAATGCAGTTTTGATTAAAAGAGAAAATAATTTATCAAATATATTGAAAGTGCACTAATTTCAGAATCTCTAAAAGCTGAATGAGATGGACTAGATGTAGTGAGCATCAAAATTTAAATGTTGAACATCTGTTTTATATATATATATATATATATATATAAAATAAAATGGACTCTCCTGTCGATTTCAACGTATGAGGATCTGACAGCTTATCGATTCAGTTATGAAATTTTGTGCGATAATCTTAAGTGGCATTTAAGAGCCGCCAGTGATTTACAAAGGAGGCCACATATGGAGCAAGTGTAAGGATTGTGAGATGAGATCACTGTTAGATTGGCTGACCTTTTAGATCTTGCTCTTGCTTCTTGAAGATGATTCAGACAAGCAGATTGAAAATTGCGGAGTCCACTAAAACACGTTGATCTCCATTCTAACTGCTCCAAGGCTAAGTGCTCAAGGGTGTTAATATATATATATATATATATATATAATGATTCCACCAATATGGCTTAACCAAAGAGGGTTATGGATAGTATGACAAAAGACCTATCTTTTATATACAATGACATGTATGGATAAGGATTCGGTATAAAACTACAAGTAAGTGTCAATAAATAATTACGCAACTACCATAATATACAGAGTCCAGCAAAAAAAAAAAAAAAAAAAAAATGTATACCAACTTCAGGAAAGGAAAAACTTGTCTTTCATAGTTTTATCAAATTACTCTAACACAGTTTACTATAGGGGACCCTAAAGGATGTTATGTATCGCAGAAAACCCAACAACATTAGTGACCCTTAGACAGGAAATTAAAAATGCATGTACAGCAATCCCACTAAACACTTTGGCCAATGATACCTAAGCAGTAGTTTGCCATATTAATAAATGAAGGTAAATGTGATTGTAAAGTCCAAAGGTAAATGTAAGTGTGAATGTCTGAATAAATTTAGTATTACAATATCTATACAAGTTTTTCCTGTCCTAAAGTGTGTGTGTATATATATATATATATATATATATATATATATATATATATATGTTAATAATACATATACCTATATTTGATGTGCAACTTGAATTTCATCGGTTAAAATTGATCAGGCAGAGATAAGATATATATATATATATATATATATATATATATATATATATATATATATATTACTTTTACTGGGGAGCCATAATGAAATGAGATTTAAAAAAAAAAAAAAAAAAATAACACTTACCCAGTGTCCCTTTTTGGTTCTGGAGTTGTAAATTTTATGTTCACTATAAGAAAAGAAAAAAAAAGAAAGTATTATGTTTCAGATAGCTTTTTGCCATTTCCTTCTATATATGAACCCCCTCACAAAGAGCTCTATATACATATCCCAGCATAAAACCTATAATTTGGCAAGGAATAATACAGAAAGAAAAGAAAACTAATTACAACAATTGTGTGTAATTGTTTTATATTTGGACATAATTCTGATTTGTAATCATAATTTCATAATTTATTTCATTTTATGATAATCAAGGTGTCGTACAGGCATGTTTAGGTGTTAGTGAACTACCATTAATCTCTACCCCAAAGACTGCTCAAACTCAACAATCAGGATATAATATGCAGGAAGTTTTGAGTATTATTTTTCTATTATTTAAGTATGCCTTATATAGAGGGAAATTTGCTATGTACAAAATTTGCTAGGTACTGAAAAGTTCTCACCCCAAGCTAAATAAAAGCCCTTCTAGAAAAATCCTGAAGCATGACCATTTGGTCAATGCTGAGAAATTTTCAGAATCTCTGTATGTTTCTATATCACTTAAGCAGAACACAGAAGCTAAAAATTGTGTCCTCGTTAAGCAGTTGTTCCTTTTAAACAAATGAACATAAAAAAGAACAGAATATTACAGATGTTCATTTGGGAAAAACATGATATACAACACTATATATCAAATTAAAAGAGGGTAATTGAATGACAAATGTAAAAAAAATCCTATTTTATACATTTCATCTTCCAAAATGGCTTCTTCAAGCTAGTGATGGAATGGGCTTTTCTTCAAGCTAGTGATGGAATCGTATATATTTAAGGGAAGAGAACAAAATACAACAAATTCCAGTCATAATTCTATATCAAGAAAACACTGAAGATAAAGGGTTGCTTAACTTTAGATTCATTTAATTCATACTAATTAGTTTAAATTAAGTTTAATTTGATTAAAGTTAAGTATTCCTGTATCATTAGAGTTTTCTTGAGAGAATTGTGACTGATATTTTATATCTTCACTCTACATTCATAAGATTTCATAAGTAAAAACATTATTAGCCTGAAGAAGTTTTTCCAAAAAACAAAACTGATAACCTAGGATTCCTGTTTATTCATTCAATTACCCACTATATATACAACAAATCATATTAGTACATGAAATATTGTTTAGTAACCTGATGTATTGAGAGCCTTAGTAATCCTGAGCAAAAGAGTAGAAATATTTGGAGAAAAATATGGGAGAGTGTTTCATTAAGTAGAGACAGACACAAAAGAAGAGAAATTTATTTTTTTAATATTGAACATGATAATTACAAAAACTACTGGCTTTAAAAATATTAGCTTCCAGAATTTCTGTGATTGATCATTTTTTTTTGGTTAAGGGAAATGGAAAAAAGACAAAAAAAAAAAAGATGGTTTTCATAACTCTAAAGAAATGTGTGTACCATTTGATATAAGAAAAAAAATATTTACTAGAATTGTGAAAATTCTAGTAAATATAGTAAAACTATAGAAAGACTGCAATAGGCAATAAAATAGAAAAAGAAGTTTTTATTCTTTCTGTGCAGACCAATACCAAACAGTCCACAGTCTGACAGTTGGTGACACTCTCAATCTGGACAACCACTAGCTTGGGCCAACAATAAAATCGTAAAGCTGGTGACAAAAAAAAAAAAAAACTCAGATAATTACAAGATATTCTTGAACTTTTTGGAAATTATTCCATATTAGAATAAAACCATTTTTTGAAATAGTAATTTTTTTTTTTAGGTTTATCATTGAATTAAAATAGACATACAAATATATACATGCACAATTTGAATGAAATTAAAATGGACATTTGTGTTGCAAGAGCTAATTTCCCTTTCTGTCTGACCACAAACCAGAGATAACAGGGAAAGTGTATAAACTATCTCTTTGAAGTCATTTATACGACTCTTTCAGTGTTTAAACGGAATATATTTTCTAATAAATATGGTATTTTAAATAGGCCAACAATTTAGACTTGAAATTTGATCATCTTGCCATCAGCAAAACAAGAATTTAGATTGAAATTAAAGCTTTCTCTCTCTCTATATATATATATATATATATATATATATATATATACATACACACACACACACAAGATAGTTATATTAATAAATAAATACAACCCCTTTTCGAAGGAGAAAAAGAAATCATCAGGTGTGGAGAGAGTGGTCAGATGGTATAACACTATTCCCCATAATGTTGGCCATAACATGCTGAAACATTGCTTAACTTTGGTGATTTGACAAGAACCAATGTTGAACCTGGTCAGTACTCAGATGAGGCTGCTGGAGAATACCAGTTGCTGTAAGGTACATGACAGGCCTAGCAAGCCATTAATGGATAAAAACTTACTACTAACAGAAGTATTCAAGGTGGTTTTGAACTGATAGGTCATAAGACCTACTTGGTGTTAGGGGAGTGTGGAGTTGAGACAGTTGGAAATCAGCTTATGATATATTGCTGATGGGGCTCTGGTAAAAGTTCAAATGCTCAATAAGACCCCCTCCCCACCAAAAAAACAAACATCCACACCTAAAGGAGAATGCCCCTGCCCTGCCACTCTATATACAAGACCTCATAGTACAAGTGGAAAGGAAAGTGTTTTGTGCCAGGTCTTTTTAACAAGATGCTGATTAATATGGAGGAACCTTTTATAACATGGGGTAAGGATCAGTTGTTCTAGAAAAAAACCCTAACCCAGTGATTTTCAACCAGTGTGCCATGGCACACTGACATGCTGTGAGATGGTCAAAGATGTGCTACAAATATTTTTAAAAGGTCATTAATTAAATTATTTTCAAAAATAGTCCAAAGCACAATAAGTGTGCATATCAAAATTAAATCCTCTTTAAATAGATTATATGAGCATATAATTGTTATAATAAATGTATACATAATATATAAAATAATGTGTAAAATTTCAGATATATTCTATCTATAAAAGGACAATATGGATAAAGACAAAAGGAAAACGTAGCTGATCTGTTTTGTCCATTTTTGCCTTGATAAAGTCCCTCAGAGGGTGAAACACATCAGCTAAGATAAGTTTCCCTTTCTTCTTTATTCATATAAAATATATTTAAAAAAAAAAAAGAAAAAAAAGTGAGCTTTTTTGCAACAAATATTATTTGAATAAAAATCAGTCATAGCTAGAATCCTTGGAGAATTTAACACTATGCCTGTCCAAAAATTCAACCCTGAAGAAAAAAAAAAAGAAAAAAAAAAAAAAAAAATGAAGCTCATTAAATATTAAATTATAATAAACAAAAAAATAAATAAATATAAGTGTTTTTAAGAATTTCAATAATTACTTTTTTATTAAAAATTATAATAAATTGTTCTGTGTTAATAAATAAATCATAAAACGTATACTCTTTATTTTGTCACTAATTAAAATGTGCAGCAGAAGTTTAACTATAGGTTCATATCTGCCATGAGATTTTTTTTAATCATTTCACCCCAAGCAAAGCAATAAAACCACTAGGACGCAAGGGGTTATTGAGTATTAGAGAATATGAGAAAAACTACTATCAAGGAGAGAAGACAATAAAAGAATAAGGATTAAGAAGACAGAAGGTAAGGATTGTAATTGGATTTAATTTTTTGAAAATCAAGGTTGACTAGGAAGCAAGAAGCCAAGAGAGAGTTACACAAGCAAGAAGTGCGATAGAAGAAACTATTAGCAAAGAAATTATGGTTACATCTAGCCATTTAAAACTGTAAAATGAAGAGACCATGCTGCCAATCTAATACTGTACTTAAATTTGTAGTTTAGGTACCATAGAGGAAATTCATCAGAACAATTACCATGAAAGTATTTATAGAAAAGGCACAGAGAAGCTACTTTATAGCAGGGAAAGTGACTGAAGCCGAGATGTCAGGTCAGGACTAATAACATTGCAGATTGTTTGGATTTTATCAAGAATCTCTAAATATATAGCAGGAACACCAAACCAAATGTGGCAACAATATTCAAAGCAAGGATGAATGGTAGACTTATAAATATCTAAGATAGATTCTGGAGAGAAAGATTGTCTATCTTGACACAGTGAACCAACTTTCCTAGCTACAGACTTAACAATTAATTCAATATGCTCTTTCCACTTCATGTCAGTGGAAAATGTTGGACAGAGAAGACACAATGTGTCACTCTCCTGGAGGTTAGCATCAATATTATAAAATAAATAAATAAAAAAGAAGACAAAAAAACCCCAAAAAAAACAAAAAAAAAACATAATTACAATATTTTCTTGAACTTTTTGGAAAAAATTCAGTATTGGAATAAAACATTGGCCTAACCAATTAATCCCCAGTTTAAAATCCAATATCAATTATAAAAATCTGTTCTAGTTTTCTATCTATGATCCATTAATGTCCACTGTTCCCTATTTGGGACAATGGGCATATTTCTTGCTAGAAAAAGTTTTACAATATCAGTTCAGATCCTAGGCTTTATTTGCAAGTTGAATTTTCTAATATCTTTTAAGATATTTATTGCGCTAGGCCACCTTTAGCTCAAACTAATTCAACACACTGTTCAGGCAAACTACATTTCTTAGTTTCATCGGTTTCAACCTTCATGGTTAAGGCCTACATGCCACACACACTGTAATGATCTACCCTCATTCCCTTTATATTCCACTGATGAGAAGTTCCACTTGAGTGAGCAGATTCTTCTCATGAACTGGTGCTTTGTGGAACAGACTCACAAGATACTTCCTCAATCAGTTCAAGCCTACGGTTAACTGTTAGCTTCCACAGATATCACCATAAATTGTGACTCTTACTCTGTAATCCTCTACCTTGAGTAGCTCCTAAGCCTTGTACAGCGTAAACTTAATAGTAAAAAAAAACAAAAAAAAAAAAAAACACATTAAACTACATCATACTTATTAAAGAAATTCATACTTGAAAAAATGCTGAAAACAAGTCATGACTATTAACAAAAAAAAAAAAAATACTTAATTTCTGTCTGAATTTCTGAGATGA